CCCCCCACAGGTGCTCTGTTCTTGGCTCAGCAACAACCCCAATTATGAGGAGATCACCAAGTGGTACCTGGGCTGGAAGTCCATGTTTTCCGACCAGGTGCTGGCCCACCCCTCCATCAAGGAGAAATTCAATGAAGCCCTGGACATCATGAACAGAGCCGTTTCCTCCAGTGTCGGTGGGTGCCGTGGGGGCTGTCGGGCACGCAGGCTGATGCCTCAAGGCGGGACCCTTGGCCGAGTCTCAGCCAGTCACAGAGGGGGTGGGGGGCAGTGCAAATGTGGGGCTGCAGGCTTTCTCCTCATCCCTTTTCTCCTCCTCTCTTGCCAGGGGGCTACATGCAGCCCGGTGCACGGGAGAACATCGCTTACCTCACGCATACAGAACGCCGGAAGGACTTCCAGTACGAAGCCATGCAGGAGCGCCGAGAAGCCGAGAACATGGCACAGCGCGGGATCGGCATGGCCGCCAGCTCTGTGCCCATGAACTTCAAGGACCTGATCCAGACCAAAGCAGAGGAGCACAACATTGTCTTCATGCCTGTCATCGGGAAGCGGCACGAGGGAAAGCAGCTCTACACCTTTGGGCGCATCGTCATCTATATTGACCGGGGGGTGGTCTTTGTGCAGGGTGAGAAGACCTGGGTGCCCACCTCTCTGCAGAGCCTCATCGACATGGCCAAGTGAGCCGGGGGGGGGGGGGACGGGCCCAAAGAGCTTCCCTCATCTCCCCTGCATCCCAGAAAGTGCTTAGGGCCCCTTGTAAAAGAAAACCAGGCTGCAGAGAGGCAGCCCTGACCAAGAGACCTGTATCTGTAAATAAAGTACCTGCTTCATTCTGATGCTTGTCTATTAAAATGTTCAAACTGCCGACCGGTCAGTGGGGGCAAATCATTGAAGGGGCTTGAGAAACTTAAGAGAGTAACAGCTGTTAATAAAAGGCACAGAGTTCAAGAGGATTTTTTTAATGGTTACAATATAAGATGTTAGTTGATCTATGGGTTTGACAGCAACCCGGTTCCCCTTCTAGTTTTGGGGAGAAATCCTGGCATGGTTTCCTGGAAGGAGCAAGACCTACCATCATTGTTTTCCATTTCTCCCCCCTCCCCAGTTTGACTCTAAGCAAGAAGTAAGAGTTGTGGGGTTTGTGGGGAGGGGCTCATTGCATTGCATGCCCTCAGACTTTGGGCTCCACTGCTGCAGCTCCCCCCCCATTTCCTGTGCACCGGGGGGGGGGGGGGAATGTTATTGGGGTTTGTTTCTGATGATTTCCAGCTGAGCCTCTTCTGGGTAAAAGGGCTCCGGCTGGCAGGCCCAGCACTCCTGGGGGAGGCCCCTCAGTTTCTGCAGAGGAAAGCGGTGGACGGATGTGTCGTTGAAGACATCGGGGTGGAGCGGGTGGGGCGGAAGGGCTTCCTCTTGGGATGCCTCCAGCACCTGGTAACAGGTGAGCACAAGAAGAAGGCGTCATGGGGTTTGGGCACATTGGCAGCCAGAGGCTAGAAGAGCTAACTGGTGGCCAAACACCGAAGGCCACCAGGGAGGACTTCAGCTCTTCCCGCTGCAGGAGCTCTGCAAGGCCACCAGTCACCCAAGGATCATCGTGACCAGGAGCTGGCCGTGGCTTCCGGCTTGCAAGTTCTGCTCTGGTCTCAAGGGGGCTTTCAGATTCTAAAAGTGGAGGCAAACGGTCCCCCCCCCCACCAGAGCAAGAGAGGAAGACCCACCTTGGCAATGTAGCTATAATTCTCACGGAGGACTTTGGCCAGCAGCCTAGAATGGGAATTGGGGGGCGGGAGAGACAGGGTATTAGAAAACGTGGAGGGCAGGAAGCAAAACTCAGGCAGGTCTTTGTGCAGCTTCCAGCCAAGGGAAGGGCTGGCCAAATCAGCAAATCACACCTGTGCAGAGTGGGAATCCACAGAGTTTGGTTCAACAGGCCAGGATTGCACAAACTCAGCCAGGGCCTGAAAAGGACGTGCGGAGCTTGCAGGCTGAGCGGCTGACTCCAACACCCTCCCTGCCCAGGTGGCAGGGGGAGTGCGTACCTCTCCTCAAAGCCCCTGAAGCTGTTCCCTACGACCACCATCTGGGAGAGCGCCTCCGCAGACCAGTTGCTCCACAGCAGGTTGTTGTAGAGCGCCTTCCCGCAGTGGATCATGTAGAAGAGCGTGGGGCCCTCGATGCTCCGCTTCCCCTCCTGGGCAACAAAGGACAGGCCAAGGACTGCAGGCCAACTTCAGGGAAGAGACCCCGATTGTGGTGGCAGGCACTCTGCACGCACGTGCACACACACACACACCCCCCCAAGTTCACCTCATTCCACTGCAGTACGGTGAGGCCGAGGCCGCCCAGCACCTCAGTTTCCAGGGTGGAAAAGATGGGGTCAAAGACAAAGCACATCTCTGGGGGAATCTGCAATGCAACAGCAGGGAGGGGGCTGACTCGAACTCAGGGTCTCCTCCGCCCTCCCCCCCCCCACCCCCAGCCGGGCCCCCCAACCTTGAGCTCTTCCAGCAGCAGCAAGAGGAAGGCCAGCTGCAGGCGTGCCTTGCCGCACGAGCAAAAGTTCCCGAGGCCATAGCACACACACCGCAGGCCCCTCGCTCTGCCCCCCGGGCCCCCCGGGGCCGATTTTCCCGGAAGGGCCTCCTGCAACTCCCCCAAGGCTGCAAAGGCGTCCTGCTCGGCTGCCGGGGGGGTCCCGAGGGACTTCAAGATGGTTCCTGGATGCGGAGGAAAAGATCAAGGTGGGTCTGGGGGGATCAGGCCAGGACCCGGACGCTCCCCACCCC